CTAACCAGTTTGGCTCAGTGGATAGAGGGTCAGCCTGTGGACTGAAGGGGAAAATCTCGAGCTATTGTTCAGAATCCCAGTTACCTATTTCCTAGCTGGATATCTTTGACTTATTTTTTTGACAAGTCACTTATTTATTTTTTCAATGTTCTTATCTATAAACTAAGAACTGCAATGGGCTGTGAGGTTAAAAACAAAGTATGTCCAGCATTAGTCAAGAGTTCTCAGACTTTTTTCTCCTTAATTGCAGCTGCTGTTCCCTCTTCTGAAAATTCAAATGCAAAGTCTGAGAGGAAGCCATGACAGGCCTAACAGACCCAACAATCCTACTGTGTGAATAAACTCCATTTCTCTGAAAACTGGTTGACTTACGTTGTACATATTCCATACTTCTGATATGTGGGTGGCTTTGGAGGCTTGGGATCTTTTTCCACAAAGATTTTAAGGAGGAAGAAAGAAGATAGAAATATCAATGATGAGAGAATCATTAATAGGCTGCCTCCTGCATTATCCACACTGAGGATCACTACTTCTGCAAGATCCACACTGGGCATCAAGACCACAATCCAGGCATGTGCCCTGACCAGGAATTGAACCGGTGACCTCCTAGTTCATAGGTCGACGTTAAACCACTGAGCCACAAAAGCTGGGCCAGGCTTGGGATCTTTAGTGGGTGTTTTAAGACTGCTAGGTATTGCCTTGAAGTGTCTTCCCCTTATTGAATATTAATTTACCTCTCTGGATCACTTCCAGCCCAAATCTAGAAAATATATAAACAGTATGTTCCCAAGTTCCCTTTGTTTTCAAAGTATTTCCTTCTGTGTATCAATTGTGGTTTTTTATCTTTTTAAAAAGCAGCAGATTATTTTGTTTAAATGAAATCTTAACCCAAGGCCTAATATGTAAGAGAGAAAGGTAGGCCTTGCATTGGTTGAAGCAGAGACAGCCCAACCACTGTCTCTGTTCATTTACCTTCCATATATGCCTTCTCTCTGACACCCTTCATCTCCCAGCTCTCCCCGCCGCCCCAGGCCCCCGAGAAGACTGATGAACCTACATTTCTGAATCCTGTTCACTCACCCCAGTCACTTCTCACTGCTTACCAATCAAAATATTTTACAGGCTTTTCTTCATCCTCCCTTAAGTGTTAGTGGCTCTCAAGGGTCTCCTCTCTTCTTACACTCTTCATTCTTCTCTGTTCTCACCCACTTTCAATGACCCTAGCTTCTATCTAAACTAAGTCCCCAGTTGACATCTCCAGCACATGGTCATGAACATCAGACTCTATATGTCCCCTGGCTGCTGGCCACAAAACAGGTATTCATTAAAGGTCAAGGAAATAAAACAGAGACCCCACAAGACAAACAGGCTGACTTAGACTCAGTGCACATCTGTAAATCATGAGGTTTGGACAACTACACTATTGTAAGAGACATAGAGACATAACCAGGTTCAGATGTGGGAAGAGAAGAAAGAAGTGAGCATGGAGTGGGGAATGGGCACTGTGCACTCTGACAATCTTCTCTGCATCTCACTGTCTTGCTTTCTTACTTTCAGTTTCATTAGTCCTAACAACTCTCAGGAACATAGTACCCTAAATTGTTGAAAAGGAATCACTGCTCCCAGTCAACTATGTTCATGTTGGCCTTAAAAGAAAAAATATGGGTGTAAAAGACTGCACCCATAGATTTAACTTAAACAGAAGGAAGCAATTATGAAAGCTGTGATGACAGGCAGAGAGAAATTAAACACTGCAGCAAATTTCTAAGTGCCAGATTTCTATTTGTGAAAGAGACCTAGTCTTTGTGGTTAAGAGCAATGTATTAATAGTTGAATATACACTGAGTGGCCAGATTATTATGACCACCCCATCAGTACTTCATTGGGCCACCTTTTGCCTTCAGTACTGTGGCGATTCTTCTTGGTATTGACTCCACGAGATATTGAAAGGTGATGTGAGGAGTCTGACACTGTGCCTGATGAATAGCACTGTCCAGTTCTGTGAGATTCGATGGCTGTGGAACCAGCTGCCTGGTGGCTCTTTTAACTTCATTCCATAAATGCTCAGTTGGATTGAGATCTGGTGAATGTGGGGGCCATCTAAGCAAGGTAAAGTCTCCCTCTTGTTCTTGAAACCACTCCTGCACAATACGAGCACCGAGCACCGTGGCATGGCGCATTGTCTTGTTGGAAGAAGCCATCTCCACTGGGATACGCCATCAACATGATAGGATGAACTTGATCAGCAACGATACTTAGGTGTGCTGTGCTGTTCAGACATTGTTCTACACGAATTAAAGGCCCCAAATCATGCCAGGAAAACATGCCCCAAACCATAACACTGCCCCCACCAGCTTGAAGGGTTGTACTTATGCATGTGGGGTGCATGCTTTCATGCTGTTTCAGAGAAATTTTCACTCTGCCATTTGTATGATACAACTGGAAACATGATTCACATGACTTTTTTTCCAACGCTCAACTGTCCAATCTTTGTGTTCCTTTGTGTGCAAATTGGAGACGTTTTATCTTGCTAACTACAGATAGCAAAGGTGTTCGAACAGACCTTTGGCTTCTATATTGTACACGTATGATGCAGTGTACGGCTAATTTGCCTACAAACGTCAGGTGGTCATAATAATCTGGCCACTCAGTGTATTTAATATCCACCACTATTTTGTAATGGTAACTATGGGAGCAAATACCTCCCAAGAGAAAATCTGGTTCCCAAGCTTTAGCTCGTGCCCTCAGTAAGCTAACAGTACTAAGTGGGTAGTGACCAAAACCTGAGACAAATCTATGACCTTGGCTGGGAGTTTGGGTCCTTAGTTAATTCATTCCTTGACTCTTAAGTCACTCTGCCCCACACGGAGCAGCATGAAAGCCTTAAAGGTCTATGGGTTGATTTATGGATTACAGGGTTATTTGACCTGTTTTCCAAGTTGGGGGCCAAGTGGGTAGAGAACTGAGTGAATATAGGGAAGTGGGAGTTGACCCACCTGGAGAAGGTCTTGATTGTTACTCAGCATATATTCAGTTCCAACAAAGAATTAAATCCTTCACATTGGATGGCCTATAGTAAGATAATCTAATGTGGCCTCTTATTTTACCAAAGGAAGCTAGGACTTGATACTTGGGTTAAATGGTGAGACCTCAAAATTATCAATTAGCTCAGTCACTTCAGGCAAGCTTTTCTATCTGGTCCACCTCCCTCCAGATCTCTGATTTGTGCATTTCCGTATGTGTGTCTGGTTATTCCTAGGGGACATCTTTAAGGACAGGGGTCCCATCTGCCTCAAGCTACAATGCTTAAAATAGTCCAGCTTCACAAGAACCAGTCCCATTTTGTCATTTACCTGCAAATGGTGACATGGAGACTGACAATGACGGATCTCCTAGGCTGTGGGTGCTGTGGCACCTTTCCCCTCAGGAGTCCCATCCTAGCTTATAGGGATAGGCAGGATAAAGGGACCAATGCTAGAGGAAGTATAAATTAGGTTAAAAATAACAATCAAATTAGAAATAGAAGCCTGAGTTAGCCCACAATGCTCTCTTCCCTAGACACTTTTTCATCTTATGTTCACAACTGTACAATCCAGCATTTGATTGTGGGTTTCTCTTGCTTTGTTGACCAAATCTCCTATGTGAAAGCCTTGACTTCCTGAACAGATTTGGGGCTTCTTTTCTGTATTCCTCCTTTTTGCCTCCTTTAACACTTAAAATGATAGACTCACACTGAGCCTACTGATTATCTTCCCAGTGGTGAAAGCTACAAGTAACTATGGCAATGGGGCTGTTTATCTCTTTCTTTCAGGTTTGAAAGACATCCATTTATTAAACTTCCTCAGAGTCAGGGATATGGACAAATACAGTGCTTCTGATACCTGGCTTATTCTGTCAGTTACTTAATCATGTACTGGGCAGGATCCAGGAATCTGCATCTTTAAAAAAAAAAAAAAAATACACATTTTATTGATTTTTTTACAGAGAGGAAGAGGATAGAGAATTAGAAATATTGATGAGAAATATTGATCAGCTGCCTCCTGCATACCCCCTACTGGGGATGTGCCTGTAACCAAGATACATACCTTTGACTGGAATCGAACCTGGGACCCTTGAGTCCACAGGCCAACACTCTATCCACTGAGCCAAACCTGTTTTGGCAGGAATCTGCATCTTTATGGAGCTCTTAGAAATGATAACTTCACCAACACTCAGACATACAAGGAGGAGCTCATGAGTAACCTGAATTTACAGAGCAATGGATTACAGCCTCATCAAGTAAATGACAGTTCAAGTCTACTTCCTACAAATAGATCCTTTATAATTTAATCCTATTTCCTATACATTTCACAAAAACTGCCCTCTCTGATCTCCCAGATTTCAGGTATCTCTGTTCACCACTTATGCTTCCTGTCCTTAAGAGAATAAAAGAATCATCCAGAAAATTACTAATCATTTTCTGGCTTAATTATTTTCTCTACAGTTCAGGTCTTAAGTCAGAAACTCAAGAAAAATTTGTTGGCAGATCAGGAGATGAATCCTTAGAGGGAATCTAGTGTAAGAGTTAATATTAACAGCAGGTCTTTGGAATCAGATGGTCCAGGTTTTTAGTGACAAACTAATTTTCTTGTACTTTAGTTTTCTCCTGTCAATACCTACCTCAAAAGGTTGTTTTGGTCCTAGCCAGTTTGGCTCAATGGATAGAGTGTCAGCCTGTGGTCTGAAGGGTCCCGGGTTCAATCCCAGCCAGGGGCACATGCCTGGGTTGTGGGCTTGATCCCCAGTTGGGGGCGTGTGGGAGGCAGCTGATCAATGATTCTTTCTCATCACTGATCACTGATGTTTCTCTCTTTCTCTCTCTTTCTCTCTCCCTCTCCCTCTCCCTCTCTCTCTCTCTCTCTCTCTCTCTCTCTCTCTCTCTCTCTCTCTCTCCCCCCCCCCCGAAATAAATTAAAAAATATATGTGTGTGTGTGTGTGAAAATACATATACATATATGTATTAAATTTTTTGAGGGTGAATGAAATAATACTTAGAAAGCACTTTAAACACCTGGAAAGTCAAGCACCCAGTAAATGTTAACTGCTATAATTTTTAAAAACACTCCAATATTTGCACACACTTTAGGCCAGAACAGTCCCACTTTGGTAGGCTGTCAATAGGGAGTAGCTATCTGGCAATGGGAATAGGCCTGCATGGATAAAGCTCTGGTTCCATTCTAAGAGAGATGCAAATGACACAAGATCTTCCCACAAACACGAGTGTGCCCATAAGCGTGTAGTGTCCCTAGGAAAATGACCCTTTCAGTACTCTACAGATCTGAAAACCCTACATAAGGAGATCCTATTTGGGAGAATCAGTCACCAACTCTGTCACCCTTCTAGTTTACTACGTGCAACATGAGCTCAAGATCAATTACCTGGAATTTTAAGCAATGTGTATGCTGTAAAAGAGAACTACAAAAAAGATCTAGTTTCAAAAGACAAAACACTGTATGTTTGAGAAAGCAATGCAGTGAAGAGGCCAAAGGCTTTGTAAGCAGACCAACTTCAGCTCTAGTTCTAGAGCAAATCACTGTAACCTTCTGGACCTCACTTTCTTCATCTATTTAGAAATAGAATGAAGAGAGAATAATCTTTCATTGGATTGTTGTAAGGTTTGAATGAGGTAATAAGAAGAAAAGCACCAAGCATAGAGATTGGCAACCCAGAGCACTCAACTGGTATGGATCCAGAGGTAAGGTCATGGCCTACAGGCAAGGTAGATAGATGGCTTTCAGACCTGAAAGTCTCAGATATTGAGGCCTTGGGTCCCTCCCTACCTCTCTAATCCTCCCAGACCAGCTCTTGGACCCTCTCCTTACCTTCCCAACCCAACACTGCTACTAAATTGATGAAGCTAAAGGAGTTTGATCATGTCAGTATATTTATATGTAAACACAAAACTATTGGTATAAGATAGTGAATATGAACATTTACAATTATTTTCTGAATCTGACTCAATCCATTGACATTAAATACAAAAGGAAAAGATTGTAAAATAAGAACATATACATTCAAGAGCTTATTACAGTATAAAATTATTGAGGTCTGATCAGCTACCAACCTCATCTGTGATGGAGGAAGCTTTAGGGGTTCCTGGGATTTTCTTGGGAATATGGAGCACTGGGGACTCGATTCCATCCCTGGCATATCAGGCTGGTGGCTGGGAGCAGACAGGAATAGGTTGGGTGAATGGGAAGGAAATAGTAATTGCAGGGGGACTGCTATGCCCAGTCAGGAGTTAAGGTTTTTACTGTCACAGAACCCACACAGCTCGAGCTCCAGGGTCTGGCAGGCTACTAGCAGAAAGAAATGGTGATTTGAGTGGATAGGACCAAGCTGCATAAGGAAAGGAACCTTTTGGCAAAAGAAAAAGGGACCCTAGCACATTCTCCCAGGGACAGATTCTCATAGTAGTTTCCTTTCTCATACCTAGGATCCTTCTCCCTCCTTCTAAGAAATTGTTTTTGGCTCTGGCTGCTTAGTGAGTTCATCTCTACTCCCAGGCTTCAAACCCCGAGGGACTGGGACAGAAAAAAGAATCACAGTGGAGGTCTAGTACCAAAATCAGCAAAGTAAACAGAGGAAATCATTAGGTAAGGGTAATCTAAGCTGAATTAAACCAGTGTCCCCACAAACCAGTATTTTTGGCTCCAAAAGGTAGCATTCTGGAGTGAGATAAGTCATTACGTAAGGATGAAGGCCTGTGGCAAAAACACAAAGAGTAGATATACCTGTGTCCTCTTCCACCACTCTGTGGTCTGACAACAGGAGACATGATCCCCAACCCCAGCTAGTCCAGATAAACAGTAGGGCACAAGAAGCAACGAGTCCTAAACTGCAACATGGAGCCCCAGGAACTTTTATAAAGGAGTAACTGTGTGTATATGTATTTACAGAATACCACCATATTGTCACATACAATATATATTTATATACACACGTACATATGGATCCATACACATAAGTGCGTGCACACATACGCGAACAGAAGAGATTCGAATACACGCTCTAGGAATAAACGTGCTTGGCACTCGGGACTTTCTCTAGAACATATAACTTGGTCAAGCTTTCTGGGAAGGAAGGTGGATGCTCACCAAACCTCCCCATCAAATCCTAGTAATGGGGAAGGAATGGGAAAGAGATCTCCAGAAGGAGAAGGCATTGGGAAAGGAGAGCGGGCAGGTTCCTTTCTCACTTACCTTGCTTAGAGCCTCTAGCAAAAATCAATAGCCACAATTTGGTTTTAATAAGGCACAGTTCAATGGCAGGTGCTAGGAATTAAGAACACATTGCTGCTGGCCCTTTCTAGTAACCATTTCACCGTATCTACCTAGCCAAAAGGAAAGGCCGCCCTGCGTACACCAGGAGACACAAGAAAGAAGTTCATTCATGGCTTCAGTGTAACTGATGGCAGCCCATAGGCTCAGCGGTGTCCAGGGAGCTTAAGGAAGAAGGCTGGCCAGCAGGAGGCGGCTCATGGGACAGTTACTGACTCTCCATAGCCAGGATGTTGTGGCTGGATGGCACCATGCCCTCCGTTTCTGCGAACTCCAGGATTGCCTTGTAGCAAAAATAGTACTGCTCAGGGGTCTGAATGCTGAAGGCCCTCTGGGTCCTCATGCGGGACACAGTCTGGAACACATTAAGGGTACCGAGCTCCTCCAACTGTGCCAGGCAGATGTCCAGTGAGCAGAAGGTACCTGAAGGAAGAAAGGAAACAGTCATATGTGATCTACCTCTCCTTTCCCCACCCCTCTACCAAATAACTCAGGGAGGACTAGATTACTGAATTTAAAGGCAAGGGGCCTTAGGCCTGAAAGAGTCAAGGAAGAGGGCAGAGTGAGTGCTGGAGGCCAGTGAAATAAGAGGGCATATACATGGAGGTAATAGGAAGAGGTGGGAAAGTGACAATCCTGATAAAACAATAGCACTCCCACACCTGGGCCCTAATTTTCAGACTCTACAATTTCTCCACAGAGGCCTAACACAAACCTATTCTTCCTGACCTTCTCCCAAAGGGATCTCTGACGAGAAATGACAGTCTCTTCAATAATCATTCCCTTAAGGTTAAAGTTGCTCACTGGATCCAGAATGGAGAGATAAAACAAGGCAGGAACCTCCCCAAGGAGAGAGATGGGAAGGAAGAAGAGTATAGCTGAGCTCTCTGAGACACCCAGGTGACTGATGGGGTCAGAAGATGACCATGCTGAGTTCGGGGGAGAACCCAAGATGGCTGCCCAGGTAAACAGCCGCAGCCGCACACAACAATTTCAATGAAATACAACTAAAATATAAAATGGACATTACCAAGAACTATAGGAAAGTCGACTGACTGGAAATTCTACAACGAGAAGCAAGGAGAAAACCAGAAGGAAGCGCAGAGGAGCTGTAAAAGCCTAAGGTACTGAGACACACGCAAGGATGGAGCCGGAGAGGAGGGCGGCTGAGTGCCTGGCTGGCGTTCCCTACCAGGAAGGAGATAAAAACTCCGACTGTGCTGGGCCCCAGTTCCGACTGCTCTGAACCCCAGTTCTAGGCCAGACCCCGGGGACCCAGGCTCATCCATAGGGAGCTGGGCTGTAAGGCAGAACCCCGGGGGAGCGGTGAAAGGAGGTCCCGGAGGCGTGCACATTGCGCGCAGAGAAGGGACAGTTGGCTGTGCCGTAGGATTGCCCTGGCGGGAAGGAGACAGGGGCTCCAGACTGCTCTGAACGCCACCTCCAATCCCACTTCCAACTGAACTGAACCCCAATACCGGACTCATTGGGGGAAAGCCTAGACTGTTTGGTAGCAGGTGAAAATCGAGGGCACCTTTCTCTCAGAGGCGCTTGCAACCGGTACTGAAGGACCCTGAGACGCAGGAGCCGCTTAGGGCATGGCTGACGGAAGCCAAAGCTGTAGGCTCCACCCTGAAACTCCGCCCCATCTGTAACTGCAAAATGCAACAAAAAAAATAGATCACAAATGAAAGAAATGGAGGACAAAAAGCGACTGGATATAGAGTTCAAATCTACGCTTATAAGGTTTTTCAAGAATTTCCTAGAAAAGATCGATAAGACCTATGAGGATATGAAAAGAGATCAACTAGAATTAATAAGGAATCAACAAGAAATGATAAGGGATCAACAAGAAATGATAAGGGATCAACAAGAAATAAAGAATACATTGTCTGAAATAAAAAAATATTATACAGAGTCCTAAAAACAGAATGGAAGATCACAAGAATCAAGTCAAAGATTTGGAACATAAAAAGCCAGAAGACACTCCTCCACAGAAGCTAGAAGACAAGAGAATCCAGAAAATTGAAGATAATGTAAGAAACCTCTGGGACAACTTCAAGCGAACCAACATCAGAATTATGGGGGTCCCAGAAGATGAGAGAGAGTAAGATATTGAAAACATACTGAAAGAAATAGTGACAGAAAACTTCCCCCACCTGGTGAAAGAATTAGACTTACAAGTCCAGGAAGTGCACAGGACTCCAAACAAAAGGAATCCAAAGAGGACCACACCAAGACACATCATAATTAAAATCCCAAGAGCAAAAGACAAAGAGAGAATATTAAAAGCAGCAAGAGCAAAGAAGGTAGTTACCTATAAAGGAGCACCTATACGACTGTCAGCTGATTTCTCAACAGAAACCATGCAGGCCAGACGGGAATGGCAAGAAATATTCAAGGTGATGAATAGTAAGAACCTATAGCCAAAGATAATCTATCCAGCAAAGCTAACACTCAGAATCGAAGGTCAGATAAAGAGCTTCACTAATAAAAAAAAGCTAAAGGAGTTCATCACCACCAAACCAGAATTATATGAATTGCTGAAGGGGGTTCTTTCAGAAGAGAAAGTAAATAAAGATAAAAATTATGAACAACAAATACGTAACTATCAACAAGTGAATCTAAAAACCAAGGAAATTAAAAAAAAAAATCTGATGAACAATATTAACTGGTGAATATAATAGAATCAGAGGTATGGAAGGGGAGTGAACTGACGATTCTTGGGGAAAAGGAGAGAGAGGGGTGTGAGAAGAGACTGAACATAAATTGTGCACCTATGGATGAGGACAATGGGGGGTGGGGAAAGGGCAGAGGGTGGGGTGGGAACCTGGTGGAGGAAGAGCAATGGGCGGGGGGGGGGGGGGAGGAACATTTGTAATAATATGAACAATAAAAATTTATTAAAAAAAAGAAAAGAAAAAAAAAAAAGATGACCATGCTGATGGGATGTATAAAACACCAACCCCCAGAGAACTTGGCTTGTGAAGTGTATGTTCTGGACACACACTTAGCACTAGGGATATCAGAAATACATTAAAGAAGAATTTTTCATGACAATTCACCTCCACGGGACCAAATTCTCTTAACATGGCAAGGAAGAGCTTGGTTGTTCCTCCCCGACACTTACTGCCTCCAGAGGCTATGAGCTGCATCAGGTGCATTATTACCTGTCCTGCCAATGCCTGCACTGCAATGGACCACAATGGGTGGTTCAGGGCTCTGCCCTTTGGCGTGTGCACCCATGCTGCTGACGGCCAACCTCTGCTGCCTCCTGACTGCTCTCAAGAAGTCAATGAGGGAAGCTGCTGAGGAGGGTACACCATAATCTGGCCAGCTCAGGAATTGAAAGTGAGTCACCTGGCGTTTCTGCCGCTCCTTGGATAGAAAAATAAGAAAAAGTTAGTGAGGTCACTTCTGCTTGCCCTGACTACTTTCAGCTTTTCTAGTTCTTGACATCCTGGGGTCTCTACCAGCAAGATTCCTGCCTAAAACCCTCAACTTTCTCCACAACTGCTTCTCTACAAACCCAAAGGAAAGGTTTAATGTCTGGAAAAGGCAGAATTCTTATTTGTAGGATCCAGATTTCTTCTAAGTTTTATTCCTACTTAACGCCACTATTATATTGGCTCTGAATTAAATATCCTGATCCTCTTCCCAGAAAAAAATGGAAGTAACTTATAGGCCCCCTGGAATCCTGCCTACTTCCCTTTGGATATTTTCTTTACAGTAATGGTTCTCCCTTAGCTTCAAAAAAGTGAGAAAATAGAAACCTGGATTTACCTCTGTGTTATGAATTTCTAGCGTTGTTTTCTTATAATGGTTCATGTTCTCCACGCCTAGATTGGTCACTGTGAGGAAGCCAAATCGGATCCGAGAGTCTTTTTCTAAAGGCCAGTACTGACCACACTTCCTCCTGCCGCCCTCCTCAAAGCTGAAGACACACAGAGTAAGGTAAGCCTTCCGCCCTTCCTCTCCACACCCTTAGCCACGCCCTCCCCAGGGGCAGTAGTATCACCTCTCGCTTTGTTTCTAATTTATACCCTTGCTTTTTTGGCAGAAAAGAAAGAAAACCTTCATTCTAAACAGATGTAACAACAAAAATTTCTGCCTGTACTCATTATGCAGACTTTTACCAAGCACCTACTATATCATTTGACCCCTTTCCTCTGGGTACTCCTCACATATCTGGGATAAATACTGGGCGGACAAATAAAGACAGTAGATAAAATGTGGTGGGCCAGATTGAACTTGTACGTTCAGCCACTGTTCATTATCTTCCCCAATGAGGGCCCTGAGGGATAGAAGAGTAGGAAAGGCACAGCTCCTAAGATGCCAGCCCTGAGGTCTGTGTAAAGGCCTAAAGTCCACCTCTTTATACATCAGTGGCTCCAAATTACTCCAAGGTGACACTTCTTCCACAGCCTCCTCTCCAATCAAAGGTGGTTGTGACAGTACCATGAGAAAGCAAAATGAGCTAACATTCTCATCAATTCTTTTCTCCTCATCTGAAATAGGTTACAATTATCATAATGATAATAGTAATACTCATGAAATAGTAATTCCTGAAGTTTTGGCAGATGTGTACACCAAAATTTCAAAAATACTATTTTCATCAAGAGCTGCCTGCCTTCATGAGCAAAAAATGGTCAAAGTAGCAGGGGAAGAGAGAGCAAAGGGGAACCGGTAATTCAGATACCACACTTGGCATGTCAGTGTCTGACTTTTTAAGTATAATTTAAATGGAGTGACGGTCACTGCCCTTAATATTATTTTTTAAACAGCTGTCCTTTGGAAGTATTCAAAGTGAATTGTCCCGTGTTTCCTAATACTTCTTTTAGTAGATAAGATCAGGATAGGCTTTAACAGAGCCATGAATTAAAGCTTTGACAAATTAGATCTATTAATTTTCACCATACCCTGGCTGTGTTAATTTTGGATCAGCTAAAAAAAAAAAAAGAGCTTTGACATCTCAAACTCTTGGCCATGGCTTTCTTAACCCTCATTGTGTCTAAGAGCTAAATGCCTTTTTGCAATTACCCATGATATATGTGTGGGGCGGGGGGGCATTGTGGGAGGCAGAGAACAGTGGGAAGAAAAGTGATGAACTCACCGAGTGGTCATGACAATCACCAAGACTTTTTGCTCCCATACCATGAGCCAAAAATCACGGTAAGTATTCTCTAAAGGGCCTGGAATGAAAGGAGAAGACAAGATACATGAGTGTGTTAGAAATCACATCTGAATGTTAACAAGGTCCCCAGGAGGAACTGTAGGAAGGTTACAGTCTGAGAAGCACTGTTACTCAACTTCTCAGAGTTTTATTACCAGGGCTTCAACTATCATATCCAGACTGACAGTGTCAACTGTGTACAAGTCTGTAGCTCTTTGCATTTCATCTAAACATTATAATCAATCACCAGTTGCTAAGTGAACTGTCCCCCTTCCATGTCCCATCATCTCCTCAGATTCAACGTATTTGCAATTCAGCTTCCTCCTTTAAAACTAGCTCTCTCTCTACACTTTCCCATCTCTATTCACAGTACTGGCATTCTTCAATCACCCAGTCTTAAAAAGTTGAAGCCAGCCAAAACCGGTTTGGCTCAGTGGATAGAGCGTCGGCCTGCGGACTGAAGGGTCCCGGGTTCAATTCTGGTCAAGGGCATGTACCTTGGTTGCGGGCACATCTCCAGTAGGGGGTGTGCAAGAGGCAGCTGATTGATGATTCTCTCTCATCAATGTTTCTAACTCTCTATCCCTCTCTCTCTCTTCCTCTCTGTAAAAAAATCAATAAAATATATATATTTTTTAAAAAGTTGAAGCCAATTCTGACCCATTTTTTCTAAAATTGTTTTTTTTTTAATGTATTGATTTGAGAAAGGGGTGAAGGGGGGGAGGAAGAGAGAAAGGGAGGGAGAAAGAGAGAAATACATCCATTTGTTTTCCGCTTATTTATGCATTCATTGCTTGAGTCTTGTGTATGCCCTGACTGGGGGATCAAATCTGCAACCTTGGCATATCAAGATGACACTCTAACTAACTGTGCTACCCATTTTGGCCAGGATCTTTACCCATTTTCTTTATCTAACAGGTCCTTGAGATTTTTGTCTTTGAATTGTTTTTGCTTTTTATTCCCATCCTGCTCTCCCTACTCAATTTCACTGCTATGAGAACCAACCATATCATCTTTTGTCTGAGTTACTGTGATTCCATCTTGGTTTACTTTTCTGAACAAGGGTCTCTCTTCCAATCTATTCTGTATACTCCTGCCTGTTTAATCTTTCTAAAAATTGCTTCATCACAATATAGACACATTATGCTGACTTCTGCTTCTATTCCCTTGCTCAAGCCATCTCTCATCTCCAAGGCTTTTCACTTTCTACCCTTTTTCAAGTGCTGCCTCTCTCCCTTGCACCTTTCTCTGACCACCACACTCCTTGTAGGACTTCTTCTTGTCTCAGATCTTGATGGCACAGCTAGATCAAAACAGCTTAACCATTTAATGTAGATGGTCTTACACCAGTCATTTTACTTTGTGAGAATTAATCACATCTCAGCAAACATAATGCTAAGGACAAGGGCCATGTCATCAGGTTATCCTTCTGTCTTACAACCTGCACAGGATGGGCATTCAGAGGGAACTTTGAAGATACTCGTGGGCCAGCCAACTCCCTTTCAATCAAAGAAGTAACAACCCAGGGTAGTTCCTTTTACTTTCCTAGTGCTTTTTCCTCTTCTGATTTCAGGGAAGCACAAAGGTTGATTTTATCCTGGAAGTTTGCAGGTTTCACTACCATTTTTGCTAACCTTTTTAGCAAGCACCAACATTGTATGACACTAGAATTTCCTCTGTGCAGAAGTGGACACTGTGAAGTCTTAAAAACAAACTAAATGTCTAACAAAAGAGGATTAAAGTATCACATATCCCTAATTTAAATAATCCATATGGTAATATAAGATCTGCATCTTTTGCTCTGGAAAGGAGTGCACATAATATCATCAAGTGAAAAGAGAGAATGTATAAAAAGAGCTCATTTTGTTAGATATTTTATAGGTCTATACCTATTTATATGCATAGAAAAAGGTTTAGAAGGAGATGCTGAAAAATGTTAACATTATCTATGGGTCTCAGATTTATGAGTGATTTCATCTTCAATTTCTGTAACAGATATGCATTACTGTAGTATGCACATCAAAGAGAAAATGAGAATACCCTCGCCCCATCTCTGATTTCTAGCTTATTCAACAACTCACTACATTGTACCAGGCAGCTCACATTTACTTACCACGTTCAAACCACTGACAAATTGGTATTGCCTATCAGAGCACCTGATACCACTCAAATTCAGGCTGGGCAGAGAAGGTCATAATTTCCCCAAAGGCAAGAGAGAGATTTGGAAGGCAAAGTGTACTCCCCAGATTAGACTCTTTAACAGCAGACTTTTCTGAAGAAATAGTCACCAGTTTGTACTGACATGAGTAAAACAATCCACTGACTAGGCTTGCTAGGACTTTAAGACCAAACAGACATATTTTCAAATCCTGGTTTTGTCACTGATTAGCTGTGTGATACAAGGTCACCTAAGCTATTTGGGCTTCAGTTTGTTCATGGATTAAAAACCTCCCTTGCAAAGTCTCTATAATAATTAGACGAGGATTATGTTCCTGATATATAATACATACTCTCAATAGAAACATATATTGTTAATAAAAATATTATGATGATTAAAAATCAGAATACTATAAATATAGCCAAGCAAATCAAACCAGTCTTCTCAACATCACTGGGCACCACCTTCTGGTATTAACACCTTCTCAATGTGATCAATGTTTGACTCAAGAAACTCTCTGTTCTATATTCCTGGAGTTTCTTCTGTCCTGGGCAGGGCCTACAGAACCAGCCTGGAAGAGCCAAGCCTTGCATAATTAGCAATGCTAACAGTACCCTAGCCTTCTAAACCTGGAGGCAGGAGCATTCTGAAACCCCCTAAAGCCAATCCTTATCCTTTATAAGCTCAAGCATACCAAGACCATCCTCCTAAAGGCCCTACTTTCTCAGGCATCACATCATACCTTACACCTGCCAACAATCTTCCCTGATTGTTCTCTAGTTTCTTCTTCTTTTTTTCTTTTTTTAAATATATTTTATTGATTTTTTACAGAGAGGAAGGGAGAGGGATAGAGAGTTAGAAACATCGATGAGAGAGAAACATCGACCAGCTGCCTCCTGCACACGCCCTACCAGGGATATGCCTGCAACCGATGTACATGCCCTTGACCGGAATCGAACCCGGGACCCTTCAGTCCGCAGACCAACGCTCTACCACTGAGCCAAACCGGCTTCTGCTCTAGTTTCTTCTTGAAAGAACCCCTTAGAGAAAAATAAACCTGTGACCATAATGCCAATGGACAATGTACCAAGAATCCAAAGGCCCCATTCCTTTTTGTTATCCATTAACTTTTATTTTGAAAAATGTGAAAACCTCCAAAATGTTGAAAAAATAGTACAGTTTACTCACATTCTTTAGTTCAAAGCTGTAATTTTAGCTACCATTTTGCAACGTTTGCTTTTCTCTATACAGTAGTCCCCCCTTATCTGTAGGGGACATGTTCCAAGACCTACAGAGGATGCCTAAAACCACAAACAGTACCAAACATATATATATAGTTTATATATATATATATATATATACATATATATATATATATACACACACACACACATATATACATAGTTTTATATATATACATATATACACATAGTTTTATATATATACATATATACACATAGTTTTATATATATACATATATACACATAGTTTTATATATATACATATATACACATAGTTTTATATATATACATATATACACATATATATAGTTTTACATACATAATATAGTTTCCCCCTATACATACATATGATACATAACATAAATTAGGCACAGTAAGAGATTTACAACAACCAATTTTAATAATAATCTAACAAAAGTTATGTGAATGTGGTCTCTCTATCTCAAACTATCTTATTCCACTCAGCCTTTTCTTGTGATGATGTGAGATGATACAATGCCTATGTGATGAGATGAATGAGGTAAATGACTTAGGCATTGTAACATAGTGATGGGTTACTGTAAGGGTGACTTGAACACAAACACTGATACTCAATAGGATAACTGAGATGGCTACTAAGTGACCAACAGGCAGGTAGCATATATAGTGTGGATACACTGCACAAAGGGTTGACTCACATCCCAGGTGGGATAGAATGGGACAGACTAGATTTCATCATGTTACTCAGAAAGCATGCAATTTAAAACTTATGAAGTTTTTATTTCTGGAACTTTCCACTTAATATTTTGGACCACAATTGACTATGGGTAATTGAAACTGCAGAAAGCAAAACCAGCCCTATCCAGTTTGGCTCCGTGGATAGAGCGCAGGTCCGTGGACGGAAAGGTCCTGGGTTCAGGTCCAATAAATGGCATGTACTTTGGTTGCAAGTGCGATTCCCAGTCCTGGTTGGGGAGCACACGCGGAGGCAACCAATTGATGTATCTCACATACTATCGATAGTAAATGTTTCTCTCTCTCTGTCTCTCCTTCTTCTTTCCACTTTCTCTCTCTAAAAAAAGAAAAAAAGAAAAAAAAAAAAGAAAAAAAAATCAATGGAAAAATATGTTCGGGTGAGAATTAACCATAAATTAAAAATAAAAGCAAGCCAAAACCGGTTTGGCTCAGTGGTAGAGCGTCGGTCTGCGGACTGAAGAGTCCCCGGTTCGATTCCGGTCAAGGGCATGTAGATTGGTTGTGGGCACATCCCCGGTAGGAGGTGTGCAAGAGGCAGCTGGTCGATGCTCTCTATCTCTCTCCCTTCCTCTCTGTAAAAAGATCAATAACATATATTTTAAAAAAATATATAAATAAATAAATAAATAAAAATAAAAAATAAAAGCAAAACCGCAGATAAGGGGAGGCTACTGTATATAAACACACATATTTTCATTTATACTGAACTATTCAAAAGTAAGTTTTAATTATTTGGAAAATATAATAAAGAATAAAGAAAAAAATTTTAATGTAATTCTAACTCCCAGAAATAAACATGTTTATTTTTGGTTAAAAAAATAAAAACAAAAAAAGTTTCATCATGCTCTCCCTCTGGGGAGCATGCCTTTACTTTTCCCTTTCCCCTCTTCTTCCCCTCAGGCACATTACTTAGCTTTGCCTTGCTCTCTCGGCTCCAAGGACCCTTCTTCTGCCTCTGTAACTTGTTACCTTAGCCTAAGCAGCCCTGACTCACTTTTACTACCTCTGTGACTTTCTAAATAAACTTTCTTATAATTTGGAACAAAAAAAGTAAATTTTAGACATTATGACATTTCACTCCTACATACTTGAACACAAATTTAGAATAACAAGGATATTCTCCTACAGAACAATAACATTATCGTACTTAAGTAATAAACACTGATACAATATTATCTAATGTATAGACTCCAATTGTCCCAGTAGTTTGTCCTTAATAGTTTTATTCTCCAAACACAGGTTTCAATCATGGATCACACATTAACTTTGGTTATCAAGTCTCTTCAGTCTCTATTTAACTAGAACAGTTCTCTGACTTTTTTTATGGCATGAACTTTGAAGAGTGTAAACCAGTTTTCTTAATGTATGTCCAAAATCTGGATTTATCTGGTTTCTCATGATTAGATTTGAACTTAAAAACTATCAACATACAACATAGGCTAATAAAGTTCTCACAGTTTCACAACAGGAGTCATGTAATATATGTTTGTCCATTATTGGTGCTAAGTTTGATCAGCTGGTAAAAGAACTATCCACCAAAATTGTTTTTATTTTTTTTTGTTGTTGTTAATCCTCACCATAGGTTATCTTTTCCATTGATTTTTTTTTTTTTTTAAGAGAGAGTAGAATAGCCCTAGCTGGTTTGGCTCAAGGGTTAGAGCACTCTGAAGAGTCCCTGATTTGGTTCCAGTCAAGGGCACATGCCTGGGTTATGAGCTCAATCCCCAGTGGGGGATGTGCAGGAGGCAGCAGATCAATGGTTCTCTCTTAATCATCGATGTTTCTATCTCTCTCTCCCTCTCCTTTTCTCTCTGAAATCAATAAAAATATTTTAAAAAGAGAGAGAGGAATAGATGAGAAAAGACAGAGAGAGAAACATCCATGTGAGAGAGACACATTGACCATCTGCCTCCCACATGCTGGGGACTGAGCCTATAACCAAGTTATATGCCCTTGACTGGAATCATAGCAGTGATCCTTAAGTCCGCAGACTGATGTTCTAACCACTGAGAAAAACGTGCTAGGGCTCCACCAGATCTTTTGCGGGCCATGTTCTGCAATGGTCTAAGGGCTTTGAGACCATATTGGCCTGTAATGCCCTCCTGGTTATGATTTCTTTCCACTTTCTTAGAAGGCAACCTGATATTCTCCTTGAGATGGCAAAGGCCATGTCAGGAGTACTAGGCACGCAGCAGCATTTATAAAAACTCCACCTGAAACCCTGGAAGCCTAGTACTTCACTCTCAGAAGACTGCTGAGGTGCTCTGTGATAGCATAGCTTCTCAGGACATCAACACCCACTCAAGATTGGACTCAATTTCCGGGAAGTCCATTGCCACTCCTGGCCTTCTACTGGCCATAAAGAGATTTAACTGGCCAATGAGATCCTCTGATATCCTATCTCCATGGGTTGGCAATATTAAGAGTCCAAAAATTGTAGTAGCGCTGTGTGTTGAAATTTCCAATTAATCTCTATGCAGTGAGTTTCCAGGAACTTATGTATAAACTCCGCACCTCTTATCTGCCTTCCTCAATAACCCCCAATCTTTATAAAAACCAAGATCTAATGGCCAAAACATCACAGAAAGTAACCATTCCTTTAAAAATTATGCTATCATCTGCTGCAAAGAATCACAGGTAGATGACTCAAAACCAATTTGTGAGGGGTGAACTAACTTACCTTGTGTACCAATGTAAGCATTCTTCTGCTTATAGCCATCCATGAAACTGGCATTGATGTAATCTGTCTAATGATAAAAAGGAAACATCATTGCAGCTATGTGGAATACACCATTTGGGTGGGAAAATAATGTAGTAGTAAGTAAATAAAACCAAGGGTATGGCTACTCTTGTCAGGAAAAAAAGAGAGAAGCAAAAAGGCCAAGTCAATTCAAAACCTCATCTCCACAAATATTGCTGGAACAATTGGACATCTACATGCAGAAAAAGAAGAAAACCAAGCTGAATCCTTCCTCACACCATACACAAAAACTAACTCAAAATGGATCACAGACCTAATGTAAAAGCTAAAAATATAAAACTCTTAGGAGAATCTATAGGATTAGCCAAAACCAGTTTGGCTCAGTGGATAGAGCGTCGTTGGCCTGTGGACTGAAAGGTCCCAGGTTTGATTCCAGTCAAGGGCATGTACCTTGGTTGTAGGCATATCCCCAGTAGGGGGTGTGCAAGAGGCAGCTGATCGATGATTCTCTCTCACTGATGTTTCTAACTCTCTCTGTCCCTTTCTCTTCCTCTCTGTAAAAAATCAATAAAATATATATATATTTTTAAAAGAATCTATAGGATTAAATCTTTTTAACATTAGGTTGAAGTCAATAAAAAACTCTCTGAAGTCAATAAAAAACTATATTTTAAAAATTAGCCCTAACTGGTTTGGCTCAGTGGATGGAACGTCAGCCTGCGGACTGAAGATCCCAGGTTCAATTCCGGTCAAGGGCATGTACCTTGGTTGTGGGCACAATCCCAGTAGGAGGTGTGCAGGAGGCAACTGATTGATGTTTCTCATCAATGTTTCTAACTCTCTATCCCTCTCCCTTCCTCTCTGTAAAAAATCAATAAAATATATATTTAAAAAAATTATAAGCAACCAAAGGGGAAAAAACACACAGATAAAATCCAACTGCATTAAAAATAAAAATTTTGGGCTTCTAATGATACCATACAAAATCCCACGTAATGCATATATTTGAAAAGAGATTTATAACTAGAATATATAAAGAATTTACAACTCAACAGTAAAAAGACAACCCAATTTTGTTTTATTTTTTTTTAATATATATTTTATTGACTTTTTCACAGAGAGGAAGAGAAAGGGATAGAGAGTTAGAAACATCGATGAGAGAGAATCATCGATCAGCTGCCTCCTGCACACCCCCCACTGGGAATGTGTCCGCAACCAAGGCACACATGACCGGAATCGAACCCAAGACCCTTCAGTCTGCAGACCGATGCTTTATCCACTGAGCCACACCGGTTTCAGCAAATTTTGTTTTAATTTTTAAAACAGATTTTAGAGAGGGAGACAAGGAGAGAAAGAGAAACATCAACATGAGAGAGACACATCTATCAGTTGCTTCCTGAAAAGTGCCCCAACCAGGGATGAAACCCCAAACCTGTTACTGCACAGGATGACACTACAATCAAGAGAGCTACATCGCCACGGCAAAGGCAACCCAATTTTAAAATGAGCAATTTAACTATTTCTCCTAAGAAGATGTACAAGTTAAAATCATAATAAGATACCATTTCACATCAACTAAGATGAATATAGGTAAGAGATAATAAATGTTGGCAAAAATGTGGAGAAATTAAAACCCTCATTCATTGCTAGCAGTAATGTAAAATGTTGTAAGCACTTTGGAAAAGAGTCTGGCAGTTCCTCAAAACGCTAAACACAGTTAACATATGACTTAGCAATTCTACTTAGGAAAATGGAGTTTCTTTTTCAGGTGATTAAAAAGTTGATTGTGGTATTGGCTGCACAATTCTGTGAATTCATTTTTAAAAACTATTGAATTATAGACTTTAAATGGATAAATTGTATGGTATGTCAATTATATATCAATGTTTCTAACTCTCTATCCCTCTCTTTTCCTCTCTGTAAAAAAAAAAAAATCAATAAAATATATTAAAAAAAGAAGTGAATGATTATGCTATAGACAATGCATGAATAAAAAATTAAAAAAACTAGTGTTATGTTAATAGATTTTTATGGTTTAGAATAAGCTTTCCAGTGATATCACCAAGTACTTAAAAAAGAAATAAAAATAATGTGCTCTAGAAAACTTTTATATTAACTCAAAAAGTAGATCCAAATGAGGACAAAACACTGATGTTTAAATGTTTGAACAACATTTTCATTAAATATCTCTACTAATGCATTATATGTGATAATATATATATATATATATATATATATATATATATATATATATATATATATATATTTTGATTTCAGGGAGAAGAAGGGAGAAGGAGAGAGAGAGATAGAAACATTGACGAGAAACATCAATCGCTGCCTCCTGCACACCTCACACTGGGGATCCAGCCCGAAACATGGTCAAGTGCCCTGACCCAGAATCGAACGAATGACCTCCTAGTGCATGGAATGATGCTCAACCAACTAAGCCACAACCAGCCAGAGAAATAATTATCAGGCACCTACAATATACCAGACCTTGTGCTCTTAGCATTTACATAAAGTATGTCATTTGATCTCTACTTAATACTATGAGATGGACATATAGGTACTTGCCTATGGTAACAATAGATTAGTATGTAGCAACATAAAAACTCAAACAGTATCTTTCTGACTTAGAATCCATATTCTTTCATAGTATTAGTAAACTTCACTTTGTAAGAGGCTTAAATTTCCCTCAGTAATCCTGAAAAGATAGAATTTATCTTTCTACCTGAGTATGGCCACTTCGTTTTATCAGTTTTACTCTTGTTTGGTCCAGGCAGGGTACATCCCCATAGCGGTTCTTCTCTAGGTTTCCTGGAGACCTGAAGAAAATGAAATAAGCAAAATAAAGAAAGAGAAAAGCGGAGGCAGTGTGTGTGTACATACAAAGCCTGGCAATGCTGAGGTGGGTGTCAGTTACTGTCGGGGCAGGTACGTCGAGCTTTTCATGATCAAGTCTATATAATTCCATATAATTCAATATTTTAGTAATAAGTACTATAGAAATATTTCCATTAAAAAAAGAGAAATAGAGGTACAACACAAAAAAAAAAAAACTAGCTGCAAATAAAATTTTCTACTACTCATTTCCAAAAAGATATTTTAAAAAAATCTCTTAAGTTCCAGTTTAACAAGGTACATTGGTAACATGTTTGATGCCAGTCCATCCAGCAAACTCATTAAAATAAAAAAGGAGCCCCTCCAGTTGTGGCTCAGTGTTTGAGCGTTGACCTAGGAACCAAAAAGTCACAGTTCAATTCCTATTTAGGGCACATGCCAGGGTTGTGGGCTCAGTACCCACTGGGGAGTGTTCCTCCTTCACCCATGTTTACATCTCTCTAACCTCTCTCTTTCTATGTAATAAAAGTCTAATAAGCTAAGTGTCTGGTCGTTTGATCATCCGTTCAACTAATCAAAGTGTAATATGCTAATGATGCTAAGGCCACTCAACCACTTGCTATAATGTGCACTGACCACCAGGGGGCAGACACTCAGACCAGTAGGTTAGCTTGCTGCTGGGGTCTGGCCAATTGGGACTGAGCAAGACAGGCTGAAGACACCCTGAGCCCTCCTGCAATCCCTCCCTGGCTGGCCAACCTCCCGCGTCCCTCCCTAGCCCCGATTGTGCGCTGGTGGGGTCCCTTGGCCTGGCCTGTGCTCTCTCTCAATCTGGGACCCCTTCGAGGATGTCAGAGAGCCAGTTTTCACAGATCCCGAAGGCCAGGCTTAAAGACCCCACTTGTACACGAATTTGTGCACTGGGCCTCTAGTAAAAATAATAAATAAAGTAATTAATTAATTTTTATAAAAGGAACTAATCAGTAGAAACCCAAAAGTGACAGCAGAGACCTAATTGAACAAAGAGTATTACACCCATTTAGGCAGAAAAAATAATAGAAGGATTTTCGCTGACTTGACCAGTTACAGAAAGCTAGGACTTCTGGACAGCATGGCTCAGTTGGTTGAGCATCAATCTATGAACCAGTAAGTCACGGTTCAATTCCCAGTCAGGGCACATGTGGGGCTTCAGGCTCCATCCCCAGTAGGGGGCATGTAAGAGGCAGCCTATCAGCGATTCTTTCTCATCACTGATGTTTCTACCTCTCTCTCCCACTTCCTCTCTGAAATTAATTTTAAAAAAAGGGGGGGGGGGGACCAAGATGGTGGCATAGGCAAACACCTGAACTGCTGCCTTGCACAATCACTTCAAAACTACAATTAAAAGACAAAACAGAAATCACCCAGAACCACAGGAGAGCTGGCTGAGTGGAAATTCTAAAACTAGAAGGAAAGAGAAAGGCACACTCAGACTCACAGGAGCTGTGGAAGTAAAATGCAGAGGTACAGAGGCGCATGTGCAGAAAGGGCAGGCAACTGAGTATGTGGCTGGCTTTCTCAATCGGGAGAGAGACAAAAACTCCTGACTGCTCTGAACTCCAGTTTTGGGTGAGACTCTGAGAACCCAGACTACTACAGAGAGAAAATGGACTGTCTTGCAGTGGGCAAAAGTTGAGGGTGGCTTTCTCTCAGAGGTGCTTGCAGCAATTACTGCAGGACACTGAGACCAAGGGGCCTCTTAGGGCAGGGCTGACCAGAAGCCATTGTTGTTTGCTCTGCCTTAAGATTCCGCCCCAGGAAGCCATGGCAGTTTGCTCTCTGCCCTGAGACTCCCTCCCATCCAAGCTGAGGGCAGAGGCTTTTGCATATGAATGGTCTGGTCCTTTGAATTCTAAACTTACCTAACAAACTGCACTGAGTCAGTAAGACCCAGAACATCAAAAAAAAGGCCCAAGGCACTCCAGCAGCTTGCATTATTTCACAGCTGGACCTCACCTAGGCACTTCTAAAACCAAAACAAAGAAGAGGAATCTGCAGATCTCTCCACAGCTCCTGCTGAGTGGCCTCAGACAGAGGCTAAATTAGCACCTCCTTGGAGATCCAAGAGCCAGTGTACCCAGGGGTCAGAGTAGGACCATCCAGATTACAAGTCCTCAGATCCTAAGGGATACACTCAGGGGGCAGACTCAGTGAGCCCCACTGAAGGGTGTCTTGCATCATAAGGGTGTCTCCAGCACATAAGTTCTCCCATCATAGACACAGCTGATCCTCACAGCCAATTGGCCTGAAGGTCAATTCCTCTCAGTGTACCAACAACAATCAAGGCTTAACCACTACAAGACTGTGCACACAGCCCACAAAGGGGTGCACCAAGGTAACTGGGGAGGCTGAGCCACTGAACCACATAGAACACTTACCACACAAAGCCACTCTATCAACTCAGGGAAGCAGCCAAAATGTGGAGACAAAGAAACAGATCACAAATGAGAGAAATGGAGGAAATAAAACTAATGGATATAGAGTTCAAAACCACGGTTATAGGTTTTTCAAGAATTTCCTAGAAAAAGCCAATAAATTTAGCCAGACCCTTGAGGATATGAAAAAGGACCAACCAGAAATTAAACATACACTGACTGAAATAAAAATATTATACAGAGACCCAATAGCAGACTAAAGAAACACAAGAATCAAGTCAAAGATTTGAAATATAAAGAAGCAAAAAACACTCCTCCGGAAAAGCAAAAAGCAAAAATAATAAAAAAATATGAAGATAGTGTAAGGAGCCTCTGGTACAACTTCAAGCGAACCAACATCAGAATTATGGGGGTCCCAGAAGAAGAGAGAGAGCAAGACACTGAAACCTATTTGAAGAAATAATGACAGAAAACTTCCCCCACCTGGTGAAAGAAATAGACTTATAAGTCCAGGAAGTGCACAGAACCCCAAACAAAAGGAATCCAAAGAGGACCATACCAAGACACATCATAATTAAAATGCCAAGAGCAAAAGACAAAAAGAGAATGCTAAAAGCAGCAAGAGAAAAATAGTTACCTACCTACAAGGGAGCACCCATAAGCTGATTTCTCTACAGAAACTATGCAGGCCAGCTGAGAGTGGCAAGAAATATTCAAAGTGATGAATAGCAAGAACCTACAAACAAGATTACTCTACCCAGCCAAGCTATCACTCAGAATGGAAGGGCAGATAAAGAGCTTCACAGCCGAGAAAAAACTAAAGGAGATCATCACTGCCAAACAAGTATTAGATGAAATGTTGAAAGGTATTCTTTAAGAAGAGGAAGAAGAAGAAAAAGGTAAATATAAAAATTATGAACAACAAATACATTATCTATTAACAAGTGAATCTAAAAATCAATAAACTGGTGAATATAATAGAATCAGGGGCATAGAAAGGGAGTGGACTGACAATTCTCGGGGGAAAGGGGTGTGGGGGTTGCGGGAAGAGACTGGACAAAAATTGTGCACCTATGGATGAGGACAGTGGGGTGGAGGGTGGGGGTAAAGGGCAGAGGGTGGGGTGGGAATCAGTGGAGAGGAGCTATGGGGGGGGGGGGAGAAGAGGAACAACTGTAATAATCTGAACAACAAATATTTAATTTAAAAAAAGGAAAGGAAGGAAAGAAGAAAAGAGAAGGAAGGAAGGAAGGAAGGAAGGAAGGAAGGAAGGAAGGAAGGAAGGAAGGAAGGAAGGAAGGAAGATAGGACCCATAGAGGTATTATAGAGATACATAATGACTCACCCTTATAAATCCCACCCTGGAAGACAAGATGAGGCACAGGACTAAAAACAGAGGAATAAATAAAAATTTGAATGACATACAGTGAGAATACCTTGTCCCACTCTCCCTGAACTATCCTTTCTTACACTCATATCCACACTTGGACCCTACCAGTCAAGAAAGTGGAGAATTCCTCTCTGGAAAAAGTGAATAGCCCTACATAAAAGAATTCTGACATTTGGAGTAAATTAACAACAAGCTAGATGATGAATTTAATTTGAAGCTCATTCATGCAGCTTTAAAAAAAAAATTCAGTGTAATGACAGCAATAAACCACTAGAGGGGGAAAATTTAAAAATAAAAAATAAAAAATAAATTCAATTCTTTTTTTTCCCCAAGAGGAAAGGAGAAGGAGAGAGAAGTTTAAACATCAAAGATGACAGAGATGCCGAAGCCGGTTTGGCTCAGTGGTAGAGCGTCGGTCTGCAGACTGAAAGGTCCCAGGTTCGATTCCGGTCAAGGGCATGTACCTTGGTTGCAGGCACATCCCCGGCAGGGGGTGTGCAAGAGGCAGCTGGTCGATGTTTCTCTCTCATCGACGTTTCTAGCTATCTCTCTCTCTTCCTTCCTCTCTGTAAAAAATCAATAAAATATATATTTTTTAAAAAAGATGACAGAGAATCACTGATCACCTGCAACCCAGCTTCTGCACACCCCCCATTGGGAACAAAGCCTGCAACCTGGGCATGTGCCCTTGACTGGAATCAAACCCAAAACCCCTCAGTCTACAGGCCAATGCTCTATTCACTAAGCCAAATCAGCTAGGGCAAAGCAGCTTTTAAGGACCCCATTCCTAAGTGTGAACTAACAGTCAAGGATCTCCAGATAGTTAAGAAAAACCCATAACACAAAAGAGATCAATTCAAATACTTGGGGAGGGGGGAAAAGCACAAAATAGAGTTAATATGAGAAACTGAGTTCTAAAAGGGTACAATTAATAAAGAAAAAAGGTACTGCATACATGAAGAATAGGATGCAATGAAAAAGGAACAAAGAAAAAAAGGTCTTAGAAATTAAAAAACTTATCCAAAGAAGAGATGAAAGAGAAAGTAGAAGAAATTTCCCAGAATAGGGAAAAAAAAACATCAAAGTAATGCAAAATATGAAAAATTTAAGAAAATAAGAGAATCATTTCAGACAGAACTTTGAAAAACACTACTTGTGTTTATAAGTAAAAGTTTTATT